AAACTGCTTCAGCATATAAAATGATGTTTGCATGAGCAGCCTCCCAGCATAGCAGAGGATGCCAGGGACGGGGGAGAGAGGGGTCCGACATTAAGAGACATATTGTCCCAAAAGTGGTTTGTTGGAGGTGGTGAGCTCCCTCTGGTTTTGAAATTGGAGATCAAGCAGTTAAGTGACAAGGCTACCTGCCTCATGGCTGATAATTTGAGATTTAGCTGATAATATATGCAAACCCCCTTCTGCCTGAAACACCATTCATGTTGAATCGTGGTGGCTGTTATTGTTGGTACTGGTGGGAGGGAAAGGAGGTTGGAAGGAAATAACCTATGCTGAGCATCTACTAGTTACAAATGTTTCACATATATTACCAAGTTGATCCTTATAGCAGCTGTGACCTGTTTTTAAAAAAGACAGAACCTCAGAGAGGTTAGGTAACATGAGTCAGTGTCACACAGCTAGGAAGAGACAGAGACCCATGATGCCTTACTCCAAATTCATCCACTTTCTGCTTCACCATCTTCTCCTCAAAGAAAATAGCCCTTAATGTACTTAGTGCAATGATTAGCACATAGTAGGTGCTCGAAAAATATATGATGAAATTGAATGAGTGAATGAATGAAATATGCTGTGAAAATGAGTCCCAGTTTCATTCACCAAAGCTTGGAAAGTGGAGACACCCATGACTGCCTAAACCAAGATCCTCTAGAGTAGGGACAGTGTTTTAATCATCTCTGAGTCCCCAGCAAGGGCTTGGCATGTTGGACTGAACCCCAGGTCAACACCAGGCATTTACTATGAATCAAAGAATCCTGAGTTTCTCAGAGTCCAGAAGAATCCAAAAGGTCATCCAAGCCAATTCCCTTTATAATATACATCCATTCCCGCATTCCTCCCCCATTCATTCATGGTGCCTCTGCCATGTGCCAGGCCCTGGGGACAAAAAAGAGGCCGTCCATTTCATCCCTGGGGTCCTGATGGAAAGCCCTTCTGTAAAAGAAAGAAAATACACACCACCTGCTAACAGCAAAGTGGTTACATGGGTAGGACTCAAGGTTTATGTGTTTTCCTCCTTTTATTTCCCAAAATATCTGCAACAGGATTATGTTACTTTTATAATAAAAAAAGGAAAATGTAAAGATTTAATAAAAAGAAGCTTTTGTATTGAGCTTAACTTTGCACTTCAAGCTCCCAGGCCTGTGATTCTAGGAAATTCAGCACAGCATTGTGGGGAGAAAGTCTTTCTCCTCTGCTGAGGTAGCATGGGTGCCCTCCAACAGAGAGATCGCTCTCAGATTTCTGTGGCTCAGGGGTGCCAGGCAGGCTCACTATTCTGGGCTGTAAGCTTTTCCAGGCTGCTTGCACCCACCACCCTCTGAGCATCTGAGGGTTGGCAGTGGAACCGAGTGGCATGTTGAAAGTACAGTGTCCGGGGCTGGCTTCATGGGAAGTTGCACAGGACTCCACACTTACAAGTCCCTGCCATTGATCTAATGCTTTGCTGTTGCCATCTTGAAATTCTTAATAATCCTTCAGCAAAGATCAGGCCTTTTCTTTTTGCACTGAGCCTTGCAAATTAGGTAGCTGGTCTTGGCAGTGTCACCATGCTGATCAAGGGCTTTGGAGCAAGACAGTCTTGCTCCCTAACTTACCCACTCTGTGTCCTGGAACAAGAGACTTAACCTCTCTGTGCCTCAGTCTCCTCATTTGAAAAATGAGAATAACCTCAGAGTGGTGTTGTAAAGATTAGCATTGTGTAATCGGCACAAAGTAAACACCCCTGAAATTATATATTCTTTGCTATATAAAGTACTTAGCACTTTATAGCACTTCTTTGCTATATAAGGTCCTGCCACAGAAAATCCCTCAGTGAGTAGCTGGAGAAGACATTGGTCGCTGCCCACAAACCAACTGCTGCCGGCTGGCCCCTCTTCCCACCCTGCTTCCCTAGCATGGCACTGAAGGGCAGAGGAGAGCAAATACAAGCTCCCTGGACTAGGAGGGACTCAGCTGGGATGTACACATGTATCATCCCCCTCCCCTGACGCCGAGGAGGACACTGGCTCTGCCTCTCTCCCATACAAACACCATTTGTCCCCGACCTGGACCCCAGGGCTTCTTCCCAGCAAGACTGTGGGGAGGGAAACAGTGAGGGCGGCCTGGGAGTGTGGGCTTGTCCCTGCTGCGATCCAGAGGTACATCCTGTTCTGGCGTTGCCATGGCACAGTCAAACATCTGCCACAACAGACGTCTGGGGCTGGTGCTGCAGTGGGGCTGTGGATGGGTGAGGGGACGCAAGACCCAGCAAGACTTGAGCCTGGGAAGGAAACCCCCCACAGCGTGCGTGCACACACATACACACGCACAAACACACATACATGGCACACACACACATGCCTACATGTGACTTGGCTTCTTGGACAGGCAGATGTCCCATGGGGAAGAGTTCCTAATTTTCAGCTTTCTTCCTGGAGGTCCTGGGAGATTTCACATGCATAGTCCTGGCAGGGCTGGGCCCTCCTGAATTCTTGTCCTGGTCCAGCTCACAGCCAGGCTCCCGGAACTGCCTGAGGTTGCATCCTGCTCCCAAAATGAAATTTGCTTTCCTGGTTATGATCGTTGTTTTTCCTGATTAGAAAGTAAAACAATCACTGAAACAAAATCACGTCATATAGAGGAGTGACGATAGCTGCACTCCTGGTGTATGAGCCAGCTGCTATA